ATTTTGCTGAACTGAGTTAAAAACATCAAAATTCATATACCTGAGGGAGACAACATTTGTTGGCCGCCCTGTAATATTCCAGTTGTAATTGACATGTGAAGGATATTGATTTGAAAAGTTTTGGCTAATAATATACCCTCTCTCACTTGTTAGGTTTCGTCCCCAGTCTGAAATAAAAGTATGAGAAACTTATATATTATTACATTCCAGCTACGATAATAACATACAAAATTTCCTAAATTCCTGTTTGAAAAGATTCCTAAAATCTATCACCCCAGTGATTTTCAAACTGTGAAGGGGTGCCCCAGGGAGCCGCAAGCTCTTTACAGGGGCGCCGTGAAATATTGTTAAAGCTTCATAGTAAATTTAACCAAGACACGAATAGTCATACTTTTACTAAGGTTAGAGCGCTGTTGAAAAATTGTATTTGAAAAAAGGCGCTGCGACCAAGAAAAGTTTGGTTAACACTGTACTACCCTAACACAATTTAGCTACTGTTGTCCCCATGTGAACTGTAATTTTTGTTATTTTGAAGCCCTACCTTGGCTTTTGTCGGGGGCCCTAAATATTGCTGGGTTATAATTGTGGCCTAACATTTAAATGGGATTTCTGGGACCTCTCCACGGGTGATCCTCATTCGCATGGTGGCACTTTGTGTCACCGGGTGTTTATCGCTTGTGTGGTGTCCTGGTGTGGTACAACTCACCCACCTACCTACATCAGTTTTCGTTATGCCTAGTGGCACATGAGGCTTCAGAGAGGACTTTCCATGCTTTCCTGTCATGTGCAATCGTCAGTGCAGTTTTCCATGTCAAGGATACCGCACTCAGGTCACTTTCCATCCTTCGTCTCCATGTTGTTTTTGGGCGCCCCTGTTTTCTCTTTCCCTCTGGTGTCCATGTGAGAGCTGTTTTGGCAGGTATATCAGAAGTCATTCTCATAACATGGCCAAGCCATTTCCATCTTCTCTTGGTAATCATACTGTCTAAAGTTTCTTGGTTTGTGGCTTGAAGAAGTTTTGTGTTTGAGATTGTTTCTGGCCAGAAAATTTTGATAATTCTACGTAGACATGTGTGGTGGAAGGTGGACAGCTTGTGTGCATCCTTTTTGGTCATTCTCCAGCATTCCGCTCCATAAAGAAGAACTGGCAAAATGATGCTCTTGTAGAGTCGGAGTTTCATTCCTCTGCAGTAATTGTTGGATTTCCAGATTTGCCTCTCCTTCCGAAAGCAGCTCTAGCTTTGTTGAGGCGTGACTGTATGTCTTCCTCTGTCCCTCCCAGTAGGGACACCACACTGCCAAGATATGTGAAATGTTCTACATTTTCAAGTGATTGGTTACTTATGATCACTGGTTGTTGGTTTGGACTGTTTGTCATGATCTTAGTTTTCTTTGTATTTATTCTCAGTCCCACCATTTCTGCTGTGCAGTGTAGTCTGTTACTTTTCTCTTGTATGTGTTCATGTTTATGTGATAGGAGTGCTATATCATCTGCAAAATCAAGGTCCTCAGGCATGGTGAATGGAGTCCATCGTATGCCTCTTAATGTCCTGTGTTCTTTGGTATCCAATTAATCACAAGGTTGAAAAGGAGAGATGACATAACTCATCCATGTCTTACACCTGTCTTTACTGGGAAAGATGTATTGTAATTTTTTATACTGCAGGAAAAGTCTTTATAGAAGAGAGCAATTATGTTGACTATTTTTTCTGGAATTCCATAGTGTCGTAAAATTTTCCACAGACCGTCTCTATGGACGCTGTCAAAAGCTTTCTCAAAGTCCACAAAATTAATATATATACTTCTCTGCCGTTCGTTGCATTGTTCTAAAATGTTACATATGGCGAAGATGTGCTCAGTTGTTCCTCTGCCCTTTCTGAATCCTGCTTGTTCCACTCGTAGGCATTTATCTACTCCTTTTTCAAGCCGCATTATGATGATTTTACAAATTATTTTGCTTGGTACTGAGAGTAGAGTAATTCCCCTCCAATTATTGCAGTCTAAGTCTCCTTTTTTAGGGATTTTGACTATTGTTCCTTCAGTCCAGTCATCAGGCAACACTTCTTTTTCCCAAATATCCTTGAACAATGGTTCTAGAATGCTAACAGTTGTGTTGGGATCTACTTTGAGAAGTTTCCTTGCAGTTCGTCTTTGCCTGGTGCTTTGTTGTTCTTTAAAGTGTGGATAGCTTGGATAGGATTTCTTGTTTGCTTGGTGGTTCAGTAATAATGTCAATGTCCAGAGAGGCTGGTTGAATATCTTGGGGAATTTTCAGGATCAGGTCTGTTCAAGAGGTCGGAGAAGATTTTAGTCCACTGAAAGTCTTGTTTTTGTTCTGTGATGAGCAGTCTGCCTTGGTTATCTCTGATGGGTATGCTGTGATAATTGTTTCTGCTTCCGCAAATTTGCTGGGTAATTTTGTGTAGGGTTTGTAGATCATGTGCTTTAGCACCTACCTACCCTACCATAAACAATAGGAGATCCACAATGAAAGCATTGACACCCAGTTTATGGTTGAATTAGGAATCGACACCACAGCACTTGGGACACTCCCATAAGTGCTCCATCCCCTATTTTCAGCAGCAAGTGAAGAGTTCTAATTCCAGTGGCACCAGTAGCCATCTGATTGTATGTCCGCCTCATCCTTTCCCTGAGTGTTGAGCGTCGGCCACATCCTCTGGTAACTCTTTGCAGCACCATTCTCCTCAGACGGTAATGATCTATCTGCGCATCCGCACTGTTCACTCGTTCCCAAAGGGTCTCACAGCATGTAGCTTGTCAGACATCAGTTCACCACCAGGTGGTGCAGAACCAGCCAGTTATGAGTTATGAGTCAGATTATCTTCACAGCACTCCAGACACATCCATAGGTGCTCAGATTCCCCTCTCAACACATTCATCAGCGTTGTGCGGTTAATAGTACCAGTCCTATGTTGGTTAACAAGACTTCGTGTGTGTCCGGTGTGCTTCTCATGCTTGGCTGTGCCGATCTTTACTCCAAAAACACGTATTTTTAGCAGTGATGTGGTCACGTTGCTTCCAAAATCCTCAGAACGTCCTATCTCTCTAAGGGCAATGACAATGTCTGCGTGATATATGGGTCGGCCATCTTCAATTAATGCAGCACCTGCCAGTCTATCAGCTCTCTCATTATCAACAACGCCTACATATCCTGGGACAAATATGAAAGTAACTGCACACACAGGGGAATTTTGCAATGATTTAAGCCACTGTCTGCGTAACCAGCCTGCCTCGACCCGCCGGATCATGCTATCTGCCTGCTCATTTCCCGACACACTGGCATGACCTCGGGAAAATATCTAGTTTAGGTAGCAATAGCTAGAGCAAAGTTCACAAGGAAGTTAGAAGGCCGCAGACCACGAACCAGACCAGAGAGACAGTGGAGAGATAACATGCAGGCAGACCAGAGAGACAGTGGAGAGATAACATGCAGGCAGACCAGAGAGACAGTGGAGAGATAACATGCAGGCAGACCAGAGAGACAGTGGAGAGATAACATGCAGGCAGACCAGAGAGACAGTGGAGAGATAACATGCAGGCAGACCAGAGAGACAGTGGAGAGATAACATGCAGGCAGACCAGAGAGACAGTGGAGAGATAACATACAGGCAGACCAGAGAGACAGTGGAGAGATAACATGCAGGCAGACCAAAGAGACAGTGGAGAGATAACATGCAGGCAGACCAGAGAGACAGTGGAGAGATAACATGCAGGCAGACCAGAGAGACAGTGGAGAGATAACATGCAGGCAGACCTAAAAATTCTTTCCTCCTGATATGCATTGTGTGTGATTAACTCTCAATGATAGAATCAAACATTAACATCTCAATGATAGAATCAAACATTAACATCTCAATGATAGAATCAAACATTAACATCTCAATGATAGAATCAAACATTAACATCTCAATGATAGAATCAAACATTAACATCTCAATGATAGAATCAAACAGCTAAAAATCTTAGAAAACCTGTTCAACCGTATAGACACATAACACAGTTATGTTGGGGTACCACAAACATGTTAACTACAGACCTGTGTGGGTGGGTTGTATGAGTATGTGTTCTGCGAATGTCTGAAAATTTCATGTTAGAGCACCAAGATAAAGGTAAAGACAAGAGGATAGACTTCGTTGCGCCGGGTTTTATCCTCTAAGGCTCAGTCTCTTTCCACAAAACAGCTAGCTGCCTGCTGACAGCATCACACAGAACACGACCCCTAAAGCTCCAGTGATTATCCCCATGGATCTCAGTAAAAATTGCACTTGTGAAATACACAACACCACCAAGAAACAAGCCCACAACCTTCAGAGAGTGAGGCAAACGGCTTGTCAACTTTGCTACAGAGACCCCTAAGAGCAGCAAAATGGCAATGTTAATATTCAGTGAAGGCTTAACATTATAATATTTCATAAAGTAATGGTGAATACAGAAAGAGGAGAAGAAGAAGAAGAAGAAGAAGAAGAAGAAGAAGAAGAAGAAGAAGAAGAAGAAGAAGAAGAAGAAGAAGAAGAAGAAGAAGAAGAAGAAGAAGAAGAAGAAGAAGAAGAAGAAGAGAAGGAGAAGAAGAAGAAGAAGAAGAAGAAGAAGAAGAAGAAGAAGAAGAAGAAGAAGAAGAAGAAGAAGAAGAAGGAGAATAAAAAAGAAAAATAATATTCTTCCAACAGGAATCATATGGGACTAAAGAATTAATACAAATGTCTTTCCATGACATGACCCCAGACTGTCTCAAGCCATCCTTGGCTCTCATCCTCTCCAGTTTTATTGTTGTCACGAAAAACTTTAACTTTCCCCTTCCTGGTGTTAAAACGAATAACTCGAGGCAAGACCAGTAGTTAACCAGGTGACTACAGTAAATATCAGTATGGAGACACCTCACTGGCTGTTGAGAAGGGAGACAAAGTTAACAATGGCTTGTCCTGAATGCCGTGATGTCAAATATTTACCCAGATGAAACATGTGAAAAATGTAATTCTCACCATTACAGAATCCTGAAGGATCAACATTACTTCCATTCCAGCAGACACAGTAAAAGGACCCCCAGGTGTTGATGCAGGTAGAGTGGGCAGGGCATGGGTTCCCTGGACATTCATTGACATCCTGGTCACAGTGAGCTCCCTGTGTTCCACTCTTACACACACAGGGGCCTGTTGGGGAGTTGCAGGATTCTGTTCCATGTCTGGAACATTTGCAAGCTGAAATCATGGTGGAAAAGGGAGATTATTCTAACAGAAAAAAAGGTAGAAATCTTATTTTAAAGACAAATGACAGTGACATCCATGTAGACCGAGCCTAAAGTGGGAACAAGGTAAGTCCTGGAAAGTAAAGGTGGCTGACTTTATGTTGATCACATCACTCAGTGAGTGCTGATTGATCTAAACAATATTATATCGGGCAGCACATGCTTAGTTTACTGACCCTATGGTAGAAAACAAATATGGCATCTTTTTTTTGAAGTTTAGACCCGGGATTTCCAAAAGAAAACGTAGTATTCTGACTGCCTGGCCAAATGTTACTCTGTCCACATGAGACACTTATTTATTCAACCCTTCCCTTCTTCCTAAGACAGTTTATTTCAGCTCTTCATGCCTTGAAAATAAAATAAACCATGTAGGATCAACTACTGTTCATGAGTACCAAACAATGGCCTCCTTAACTGTTATCAAAAATATATTACTGTACATTGAGTTTGAGTGGCGTCATTAGCTTGGGCGTTGAGAGTCTGACTCATAATTCAAATGTACTGCAATCCAAACCTACTGCTGGCTGTGTGGTTTTTATTATGGTATGGAGCGTCGCAGGTACACCCAGCCTAAAATTGATACCAGGATGTATGTCCCGGGGAGGTAAAAACGGCAGGCATAATGCTTACCACATTACCCACCAAGTGCCGATTGGTCTGTAAAAATATGGGTGCTCTTTCAATATGCGTGAAAAGGGGTCTTTACTTTTCATTTAGTTTGAGCATACTATAGATGTGGTTCTTGAGAAGAATGTTGCAAATACCTTGGACTGCCAGAATAACTAACAATGATTGCCTGCAAATGGCTAACGAAAGTAGAACATTATACATAATAATGAGAAGAAGACAGAATTCTTTGCTCATGTGATGAGAAAAGGAGCACTGGAAAATTCTGTGATGACTGGAAAGATCACTGGTAAAAGAGGCAGAGGCAGACCAAGAGAAGTGATAGTGGATGGCTTCAGACTGAGATCTGTGGAGATGCATAAACACAAGGCACTTGATGATAACAATACTAATAAAATCTGCCTAAATATTTTAACATGTAGAACAATTTACATTTATTTGAATATACTATTTGTTATTTCCCATTCACATTACTGTGCAACATGAACATTCATGAGATATTACTTCTGGGATTGAAATATTTGATGTCAATAATGACAGAAAAATCATCATCACAATGTACTATTTTTATAGGCGTGGGTCAGTCTTCATGTCTCTGCAGTATCCAAAAGGCCAAGTCATTCAGGAATAATCTCTATGTCTTCCCTTGCTCTCTTCTCATCAAGCTCGCCAGTTGTCACTAAGTGATCAGGTCCATTTCTTCTCATAATATGTTGGTCCCCATGTGGGATAAAGGGCCCCATCATGGGGACAGCAAGAATAGACCTACTGCCTCCGCAACAAGCATGTCGTAAGAGTTGACTAATCGGGAGTTTGCTTTAAAGTCCAAGTGCATCTGCATGAGAGGCAACGAACCAATATTCTGCATACAAATAAATCGGATCTGTAAAACGGATGTGGAGGCACCACCTAGGTTCAGAACTGGTCTAAAGTCCAGAGGCGGATGAACAACCAAAACTTTACACCAGATGTTACAGCCGATAAACGTGAAGAAGAAAAAGAGAACACGTTTGGGAAAAACAAAGACTATATTCGTTTAATGTCTCTAAGTGGTTAACGGTTTTTATATATCTCATAGATGACCGTCTAATTTTTTTTTTTTTTTTTTTAACCATCTTAGAAATCTTTGTATTCTTCTCAAAAACCACATATCTACTGTCATCACATGTTTTAGTGCACTTATATACCAATCGTCACCATTATTAAGTCATCCAAGCATAACTATGAGTGCAAAGAGACAGATTATTAATAGCATACTCATTCCAACATTAAGCTACAAGTGCCAAACATGGACGCTATCTAAAGCCCATATATGCAAAATCACCACCTGCGAGATGAGGTGCCTGAGAAAAGCAGCCAACCTAACCATATGAGATGGAGTGAATAATGAAACTATCAGGCAAATTGTGGGAACGACACCTTGTACTAGATTCATCGAGAAACAACAGATCAAGTGGTTTAACCATCTCGTTAGAATGCAGCAAGATCAAATACCATCACAAGCACTACATCTCAGAAGATCAACTACAAGAGCAAGAGGACGGCCACTGAAAACATTGATCGACAACATTAAAGACTCTCTACACCTTCACGGCATGACATTAGCCAGTGGCAGCCAACATACACTGGATCCCAAATTATTCCTCCTCACGAGGCTTAACGGCAGAAGTGGTTTATGATGATGATGATCACATGTTGGTTTTTTCTTGCCTGCTTACACTCCATGTCTCACATTCATATAACAATGACAGTTCAGTATAGCACTTTCTTTCTTGTATTCTGGAGTTTAATTTTTGGAGGAAAAAAAAAGAACATTTTTACTGCCCCCCCCCCCCCAACCTAACAAGCATGTCGAAGAAGGCAGTTAATAAAGATGTTTTTTTCTAAGTTGGAGTACATCTGCATGAGCTGAGTCAAGAACTGACATCACAGCACTCGAGGCATTCTCATGCATGCTCTGTACTCATCTTCAGCAGCTAGTGCAGAGTTCCAATACTAATGGTACCGGTCACAATCTGGTTATATGTCCGTCTTGCCTTTACTCTGTGTGTAGTGAGCCTGCCAGACCCTCTGGTTACACCCAAGTGCCTCATTCTCTCCAGGCCATAATAATCTTCTGTCTCTACTGATTCGGTTGCTTGTTCCCAAAGGGCCTCGACCACATCTGCCATGTCACGTATCAATTCATCACCCAGTGGTGCAGATACAGCCAATCTGTCTGCCTGTTTATTACCCACTACGCCAGCAAGCAACCAACACTCTGCACACAAATAAGCCACTCTGTAAAACAGATGTGTTTGCAGAACTCAGATCCTTGAACTGATAAACAACCTGAACTTTCCACTCGAGTTTATACCCATTGAATACAAACAATGGTGAGTCACTTCATGATAAAGCAGCCTTGGGGACTGCTCTATGGGATCAACTGGACAGTGCATTAGAACAATCAGAAAATCTATACAAAGAGACTAATTCAATGAATGGGTAGGGGCGGGGGCGGGGCAGGGGGGGGGGGTGGTACAGGCTCTGAAAGATATTGAACATTGAGTGGCAAATAGAGTCAGAATTTAAATCATGTTGAAACTGGTATTATTTACATGACGACTCTGTATTAGTGCAGTGATGTCAATTCATTTATTCATTCATTTAGGCAGAGAATGTGGAGAATGGAGCTGCGAGGATTTACAAGTGGATCTAGCCGGGGCTCCGTACTTAGGGGAAAGGCGAAACAGATATACCATCAAACAATAACTGGTGCCATAGGAAATGGAACTCTTTGCTTCCTGCTGAAGATGAGGACAGAGCATTTTCGGCAGTTTCCCGAGAGCTGTCAAGTTGATTCCTAATTTAACATTCATTCAGGCAAAGAAATAAACATCTGGCACTTAACATCTTTAATAGAAGATAGTTAATTCATCATAGCTCAACTTACCATCTGCAACATAATTGGCATGAAAACCTTTTCCAGTTGTACTTTTGAGGGAGCTATATACAATATACATTGATTTGTCTGTTGAGGAAATCACTGTAGGCAGATTGTAGCCACAGTAGCGACCAACACGATTAGCTCCAGCATGGCTACCATCATAAATCTCTACAAAGTCGTTATCCCAATCTTGTAGACCATGACTTGAAAAGTTTCTGTAAAATGTAGAAGAGCCACAAAAATGAATGCTCTTATTTGATTCTCATAGACCGACGTGCTAGAATGTCGATATGGATAAGTTACAAGCACCACAGAAAAGGATACTCCTATGTTTATGTGGAAACAATAATTTTATTAGGTTCTTTCTCTTAAAAAAAGTCCCATTTCAAGAAAATATCTTGGTTGTACACAGTAGGGTGCAGTGTCCCTGGCTTAAGCGTTGCGAGTCCGACTCGTAATCCAACGTACCGCAATCGAAACCCACTGCTGGCTGCATGGATTTTCATCATGGTATGGGTCTTCGCAGGTCATCCGAGCCTAAAATGGGTACCAGGATGGCTGTCCTAGGGAAGTAAAGGCGGCCGGCGTAATGCTGACCACATTACCCATCCAGTGCCAATTGGTCTGTAAAAATTTGGGATGCTCTTCCCATATATCCGATGCACCTAAGTTGTGAAAGGGATCTTTACTTTTTACTTTTACACACCGTGATGAAAGGAAATGAAAGAGCCAACAGACTGGCTGTGTCTGCAGTGGTTAAATGGAGAAGACGTATGCACAGGGCAGAAGTACTAAATGCACTGCATTCCAGATTGATTGAGACAAAGGAATCAGTGATGATTAATGAGAACAAGAAGGCAGAAACTGGTTGCGGAGCAAAGAAAGAAGATATGATAATGAACTCCTGCTGGTTATGTTGGGCATAGAGACACTGACATGTTTGCAGCATTAGAGAACTGAGCACAAATGGGTCTTGGATGCTCTTGTTGGCTCTCCAAAGTATTTTAAGCATTCTTCTGTAAACCATGCTGTAAAACCACATCTCTAAGGCCTCAAGAAATTGTTTGGCCTGCCTACCAACTGACCAGGACTCACAGCCATATGTTAAAACTGAATGTATGTAGCAAGCAAGAATTCTTTTTCTAACCCTCAGTGACAAAGATATATTGCATAGGATGTTCTTCATTTTATAAAATGCAGTTTTTGACTGTCCTATTCTGTTTCTTATCTCAGTAATGCATCTTTCATCTGATGTTATCCAAGTGTCCACATACTTAAATTTCTGATCTTGTCCCAAAATAACACTATTGACTACACATTTAGAAATAATTATTTTCTTTGATACCACCATTACTTCTGTCTTTCTATTATTCAAATTGAGGCCCATTCTTCCAACTTCT